TGTTGGGAGATGCAGTTCCCCTTGCCCTCGACTCTAGCCTCTGCTGCGGACTCCGTGACCTTGCCCCTACTGTCTGTACTCGAGTATGCCCCGCTTCTAATTCTTAAGTAGTAACAGCTCCCGATTCCAAATGTACTCCATCAGGCGCTGCGCTAAATGAAACACTCCAGTAAGAAAAGTAGTATTCTTGTTTTTGAGATAGGAGCTCGAGGCTTCAAACGATCAAGCAACTTGCCCAAGTTCATGTGGCTGCTAAGTGACAGGGCTGCAAAGTGACAGAGCTGGAAATTGCTCCCAGGAGCCTGTCCTTAAAAGACCAACTGAAATGCCACTTTTCATGACGCCTTCCCTGAGTTCCCCCGAATGGGATGCGAGCGTGCCCTCCAGTGGATCCTGCGGTGCTCGGTTTCAGCTTCTGCTGGCTTGCCCTGCTTTGTACAAGCCACCACAGGGAGCTTGGAGACTCGGGGAGGGCCCTTTCAGCTTTGCCGTTCCACACATGGTTCCATTTAATCCTCCCAACATTCCTAGCTTTGACGGCCTTGCCATGCTGCACCCCTCCCCCGCTGCCCAGCCAGCGCCCCGGGACGGGATTGATTACATGCCTTCGGTCCCCCAAGCCCCTGGCACAGGACTGTGCGCACGTTGCGCACTTGATAACTGAGCGCTGCATTTACAAACTCTAAATGTGGGCCGCTGTGGGGTGGCAGGGGTGGGGGAGAAGGCATGAATGATACTGCGTTCCAGTGGGAGGTGAGCCGGTTGAAGTGAGGTGCGGCTCTGTTCTTCCCGTTTTCACCCTCCTTACTCATTTCCAGCCAAAGCACATTCTCTCCAGTCTTTTAACACCAAAAGGGCAGGGCCCCAGACTGGATGGAAAGCAAGTAGGTACTTTCTCTCTTGTCCTTATCTAACCTCTGGCTCCTAATGCTACTCTGGAAATAAACTGCAATACCGAATAGCTTTTCCATAAAAATGCAGCATTAGCAGGGGAGAGTCTGTTCTTCCGGCTGCCTTAGCAAGGTAGGAGCTGGTGCTGCTCGAAGACCTTCTCACCCATTGTCCTGTTGCGGACCTTGGGAGGGGCAGGCCTTGTTCCACGACCTGCTCTCCCCCATCTCCCCCGCAGGAAGGTGGTTAATCTTGAATAGCACCTCCGAGTCGGATTTGTTTCTCTCCCTCTCTCCCTTGCCACTCTCTGAAGCACTGTTTGCCCACATTTTGGTGTATGGTACAGATCTGCACCTAACTGAAAACATTCTTTTTCAGGGTTGCAGTAAGTTTGTTCCAGAACAATTGTGGTTTTAATGCAAAATCTGCTTAATTGGTCCCAGATAGGACATTTGGGGGCCTGGACTGCAGGTGAATCCACTTATGAGACTAAGGAAAAATGGGCTTTTCAAGATTCTGTCACCTGGCCATGCAATCATGGCAGACTAGCAGGGCCTGCTGGGGAGACTGAACACAAGCATTGCTAAGGGGGCCTCCTCCAGACATCGCTTTAGGCAGCAAACAGGTGAGGAATGGGATTCACATGCACAGAGGTGGCTGGGAGGGAAACACTCTCAGTTGCCTTAGAAAATTAATCGCTGTTACCATCAAAGATATTTTTCTGAAAGAGGGTAGTTTTTGGTTGGCGACAAAAGAATCTTTCATTCACAACTTTCCCTCTAGGACAAAAACCAGAATGCAAGATTCTGGATCACTTGTCTGACGAGACAATAAGATGAAGGATCAATGGAGAAAAAATAAAATGAGAAGTCACATGTGACATCCTCAGGTAAGCCTAAAAATCTCTGCAAAGGAGATAAAACACGTCTTTGTATCTGAAAAACAAAAACCTCCGAAGATATGTATCACTATGGCACTAAGGGAGGCAGCCTGAATGAACCCATTCAATATGCAAGGATGTTCTAGAAGAATCCATCAGAGAAGCTGACACATCAATCACTTTCAAGAAATGTTATCCCCCCAGTGTAGTAGGGAGTCCACACACATGGACTAATGGTCCTCCTAGGAATCCTCACCGTGTAATAATAACTCAGCTTTCCATCTGCAACTATCAGAACGGTTGGGGAAAAGCACTGGCGATCATTCCTACTTTCGGCTGTTTCACCTGTTTGTCGTTCTGCAGAGGCAAGAACTAGGTCTGTCCTGATTTCCGACCATTCTACTCTACTCTGTGGGCGGCATGTTTTTTGGTTTTACTGCTTTGACCAAAATGCAGGGCCTTTTTGCTTATGTGCCTGAATTACTCATCATCTGGTTCAGTGGCTACTTTTTTCTCAGCATTTCATAGCCTCCGTGAAGCAGAAAACATATTTCGGATTCGAAAGGCTCAGGTGTGAATCCAGCTCGGAATTATCTATGTAATTTTGAATGCATTACTAATTTTCCTTGTTCCTACATTTTCACTTTCTTTCTGAAGTGGGGATACCTCCTCTACCAAAGATTCTGAGAATTAAAACTTACACGACAGGCTTGATAGTCATTACTTTCATTCCTTCCCAATGTTTTTTTCTCTCGCTCCCTTAACCTGCCACAGCACCTTAAAGTGACCAGCTGCACAGACTGCAATGTGACAGTCTAGTTTTTCTCTAAAGCCCAGCAAGGCTGACGTTTTGGTGGGCCTGCTTTAAAGGGCTAAATGATTCCCGCCCCCCCCCAGATTTTCAGATCAGAGAGAAATAATGCCACTGCTGTGTAAGCCTTGAACTTAGCAGTGAGTGACAGACGCAGTTTCCATTTTGTCAGACTAGTCTGTACTGTAATTACAAGCTGTGGAGGAGGGGAGTTTGAAGGCGGACCTCATCTGGTCTGGAGGACTGAGAGACTTCACAAAGAGATGGCCACTAAGATGGAATCTCACTGTACAGGGAGGATCTCAATGCAGAGAGGGAAAGGAGGGTATTTTTAGAGTAGAAAATTATAGTAAAGCTGAGGTTGTGTTTAGGTTCAGTAAGAATCTGGAATGTAGAGCTATGATTTTTGTTTTTTAAGCACGTTCCATGCTGAGTGGAGCCCAGCCTGGGCCTCGAACTCCTGATCCTGAGATCAAGACCCGAGATCAAGAGTTGGATGCTTAACCGAAGGAGCCACCCAGGAGCCCCACGCAGGGGTATGTTTAAAGTTTCTTTCACCCTAAGGCTGCCTGTATGCCCTACTTCTACAGCCACTCCAGAAGTTGCAGGAAACCCCCAGGTTCTTTTCTTCAATCAAGGCTTCAATGACCATCACACTCCCTGGGGGACTATGTCCTGGCAACTCAGCTCAGCACTCCCAAGGCAAACCATTTGCCCAGTTTCACAGGTGCAGTTTACTAGATGATCCTTATTTACACAGGAGTCAATTCATTATTTCTTGCAGGTGGATCTTAAGAATACCTACATCCATTTAACCCCTGAATAAACTTTAGATGTCTGATTATGTTAACAGCCTATATAATTTTATGGAGGACCACTGGTGTAGCTACCCTTATTGGATCTATAGCTTGGAGGAACTAAAACTGACTGACTAGACAAAACTTAGAAAAATTCCAGGCCTTCCTAAAATTCTTCACGGCCCAACTTGCACAGGCAAAAACCGAAGCCTTGGCGCCCTCTGGCGGCAGACTGGTTCTTAACAGTCATAAGCTTCTCCAGTAGGAATAGGCAGGCATGGATGAGCACAGAAGCCACAGGATAATAAACATGGCACATTTTCCTAGATCATCTTTACTGAAGATTTTTTTTTTTGGGGGGGGAGTGGGTAATGCAAAACATTTTTATATGAAAACAAATGCAGATAATATTGAATAGAATATAAAATTTACATTACTTTTTGAGACAAAGTAAGAGACATCAAAGACATTTCATGCTCATGAGCTTCGGGCCGTAGTCCCAAACCCTGTGGGAGGGAGGAGACCCCTGCGTGCTCACTCTAATATGATGGGTGCTGCTCTTTTGATAGAGAAATCTGAGCAGTAGCAAATTAAGTGCTTACTCATTGGCAAAATGCCAGTGGATTATTTAAGTGAAACCATATGCTTTCTCATCTTCGAGCATCTGAACTGCTTTTAAAAGGCCTGAGTAAATAGGAGCTTTATGCTTGAGCTGCAATGATTTCCTTCTAAAATGGTTTTTTCCTCCTATGAACGCTAACATGACTAACTGAGGGTATGACATGCGAAGTGGTCAATATCCTAAGCGCCCTGCGGACCTAAGTGTGCATTACCAGGTATGAAGTTTTAAGTACACTTTCCAAGGGCGTCACTAGGAAAGAAAAGCAAACTACTCATCTTCTGCAACAACAAAGAAACAAAATTAAAAACTGAACAAAAGATTATAAGATGATAATCTGTACAGAAATATTATATACGCATAGAACTGTATAATGATATAATTTAGGGACTGGCAAACACTTAGCTTTTAGACAAGTGGCTACTGCTGCAGTATTCGCTTCTCATACTTTATATAAGAATTTTTTTGGGGGAAAAAGAAGTTTTGCTTGTTCTCTGTAAGCCCCCCTCCCCTTTTTTGTTGTTGGCAATAATTTATTACTTTGCAGTAAGAATGAAGGAGTACATACCCTGTGTAGACATTTTCCAGGGTCATTAGCAATGGACTATCTTTTTCAGGAATGAGAGACAGGGTTAATCAAACATGGTTAGAAGCATATAACGGGAGGCAGATTCTGGTGGATGTTGACGTTTTAGGGTCTACTAAAGAAAAGGTAATTCATAACCTCCCGTATAGTTTACACTATTACATTTCTTAAGTTTTACAGAATTCTTTCTTTCTTCTTGAGAATGTACTCTACATTTTACAAAGCCTTAAAATTAAGACTCAAATCACGTAACAACCTGCCTATACCTTTTGGGAAAATGCAACTTTTTTTTCTTCCCTGTTTAAAGAATGAGTCTGGAGCAAAAATGTCCCATTTCAGGATAACTAAAGGGGGAACATCAGTGGTAAATTATGTAGTGCTGATAAAAAGAACAAAAAAGGCAGACACCAAACACCTCCATTTTCCCAAGATTAAATGATTATTAAAAAAGCGCGCCACACTGTATAGAAATCAACATTCTCTCCCATAATTCTGTGCATCTGGGACTATAGAAATGTCACTGTCCCTGCCCCACATCTTCAAATTAACATTCTCAGGTCACAACAATAAGTCTTCCCAAAGGGGACCTTCCGGAAAAACAAGCTATTTCCTCGGCTCATATTTCCCTGGAAAAAAAAATAAAATAAAAACAAATAAAGTCTAGTGTGAACATGAGATCAGCCAGTCCAAATCAGCAGAGAGATGCACCTGGACACTTTTCTGGAGCTGTAACTAAAAAGGGCCAGGACAAGACTGGGGCTCTCACCACGGAGCAGCAGTGTGCACTCTGACCCCAGCCGAGCTTTCTGGGAATTCACTACAATGTTGCCACGTGGATAAGGCAAGGATCTCTTATTTAGACAGAACTCCCAGTTCGGATTCTGGCTCTGCCACTTGCTAGCTAGGTTATCATATGAGTCAATACATATAAAGTGCTGAGACGGTCCCACCACTCACTAAGGGCTAGCTTTTATTTACTTTTTAATGGAATGGTCAGATCTCCAAGAAGTACTTATAAAATCTTACAATTAGAGTAATAATGTTGTAAGCTTAATGGAACAGACTGCACACAGATCCCACTCTCACAAATACAGGCTGTGTAGTCCTGGATTATATAATTAGTGTTATTTAACGGTTCAAAGTCCCAATTTCTTCAGATGTGCAGTGGGATGATAAAGAATGGTACCTATCCTCATATGGTTATTTTGAAGATTACAGGAGCTGATATATAGGAGGCTCTCAGCACGATGCCTGATGTATAGTAAATACCCCATCAAGACTTGTTGTCCTAAGCACTTAGAGGACTGACAGCTCCCTAGGTAAGGTATCTGATACCCTAATACATTTTCTACTTTCTTTGTACAGCAGAGGGTTAGTTAGAAAGTAGGGAAAGAAGGGCCATCTTTCCTTTTAAATGGGGACCACAACAGGAGATTGCCCAACAGAGAGTGTAAGACTCAGAATGAAACCCAAAATGTTCACTGTTAGGTCTGTATGGAAATGATTCAGGTGTTGCAGCTTGGCTCCACATAGGGGCTTGCCTGGCCTGCATGCTGAGCAAAGGCAACTATAGTAACACTTAGGCCTTTTCATTTGGAGTTCAGGCTGGGGGAGCCCGAGCTCTGTGAACAGAGGCCCTTCTCACACGCATTACTAGTGCTATAATTTAATGCGGCAAAGAGGTTCCTCATACACTATCTTCTACAATCCTTGAAAAAGTGCTTGCTAATTAAAAACAGCTTTAAACTGATGGCCATTTAAAGCGATCCTGTGTTAAATTTAGCACAGAGCCACCCATTATTTTGGTTCCTAATAAAGCTTTGCCTAGACTGGCTGAGAATTTTTGGTTGTAGATGACACACCTCACAGCAGTAAGAAAGAAGAAATTGGGAGTCTGGATGAAATCATTCTCTAAAAAGACTCTAGAAGTAAGAGACCAGCTCCATCATCATCACTGTGACAATGTCATAAACAACCCCTTGTTTCTCAGTTTCCTCTCTACCATACTGGAGGAAAACACATGAATATATAGGGAGATCCTGAGAAGTTACAAAAAGAGGTGCCGTTAGAAAAAAATAATCTGAAATTGACGTCATCGTTTTAAAAACCAGGGTAACTGTCTACCCAGACCCTATTTATAATCTGAATGTGACCACTCAAATGGCTTCCAGGTCCCATCTAGGGATTCTTAACTCATTACCCCTCCTGATACTTGTAAGCAACACACCTTACTGCTATGCTGGGGTGACATACAGAGCAGCGTAAAGGGTACATTAACTGGTAACTAAAGGGTAACCTACAAAAATTAACCTGGGATTCCAGAGACATTATTTAAGAAGACAAACAAAAACAAAACAAAGTACTAGAGAGAGGAGGGGTGAGGAGGGAGGGAAGAATGGAGAGAGAGAGAATGAGACAGAAGTACCTCTTTTTGTAGCATGCACCAGCAATCTATCCAAGAAGTATATACTGGGGAGTAAGGAGGGCATCCACCAGCAAGCCTGAAAACGGGGGGGGGGGAGAGCTATTCAAATGAACATTTCCAAAGCATTCTCTCAAGAGTTCGATAAATCTTTGTCAAAATATTCTCCTACCTAGAAAATTCCCCAAGAGGCAATTTTAGTTTTAATGGAACAAATTATACTGGGGCAGGGAAAAGAAAAAGCATCCAAAAAGGATTTCCCTCCCTCATATTTAGGTTTTTTTTTTTTTAAGAATTTTTATTTTTTTTAAAGATTTTGCTTATTTATTTGACAGAGACACAGCAAGAGAGGGAACACAAGCAGGGGGAGTGGGAGAGGGAGAACAGGCTTCCCGCAGAGCAGGGAGCCCGATGTGGGGCTCGATCCCAGGACCCTGGGACCATGACCTAAGCCGAAGGCAGACGCTTAATGACTGAGCCACCCAGGCGCCCCAAGAATTTTTATTTTTAGGTAATCTCTACACCCAATGTGGGGCTCGAACTCACAACTCTGAGATCAAGAGTTACATGCTCCCCTACTGAGCCAGCCAGGTGCCCTTCACATTTAGGCTGTGAAACAACAAGTAAACAGAAACTTCAACCAGTTATGAATTTTCAAAAACATCCGGGTTTTTAATTTGAGGATGAATATAATTCTAGAAGGTAGCAATTATATGATTAAAGTGCAGAGAAAGGGGATTTAAAAACTAAGTCGGCGGGGGCAGGGTGGCTCAGTCGGTTAGACGTCTGCCTCCAGCTCAAGTCATGATCCCAAGGTCCTGGGATTGAGCCCTGCATTGGGCTCCCTGCTCATCAGGGAGCCTGCTTTTCCTTCTCCCTCTGCTGCTCCCCCTGCTTGTGCTCTCTCTGTGTCTCTCTCTGTCAAATAAATAAAAAAATAAAATCTTTAAAAACTAAAAACTAAGCGGTGTTCAAAAGAACCTAAATAGGACAATGCATCTAAACCGTGGCGACCACATGCTTTACTCACGTATAACCCATAATCATTTCCTCCCTAAACATTTGTAAGGAACAGTAATACGTTCAACTCATCCTTCAAGTATTCTCTGGGCTAAAATGTGGCCACCGCCCTACCAATCACAAAACAAACAGAATGCGACATGATATGAAATATGACAACTATGTTCAAAACTCCACACGACTCTCTGCTTGACCTCTTGTTTGAAAACCATGACAGGTCTCACGGCACACTGTGTCAGGGACTGTACTGGAATAGTCCTGAATTAAAGCAGGAGGCAAAATTTCTGCCCAATGTGGTGCAGGCACTTGGCATCTAGAAGCTGGAAATCAGTGGTGTCTACCGCCATACCACCACCCACCCTCCCAACCAATACAGTGAAAGGTTAAGAAACTTCCCGTGAAAAAAGAAAAAAAGAACCTTTCTAGGGACCAAATTTCCTATTTTTCTTTCTTTAAACTTACTTTCTCCATGTGGACCCTAGGAAAAACAGGTACAGACTATCATTCGATCCCTGACATACCCTTTGTAACTTTCATAAGAAGGAGGATAAAGATTTAAAATAAAGGAAGGATGTGGAAATAAAAGTAATTTGATCACAATCCCGCCTAAACTACAGGCAACTGTACATTATCTGTAAGTACTTGAGAAATATTTTTATGCCCTTCTCTACTCTAAAAGAGGACATGAAGGGGCTGCTTATAATATAAATTGACGCCCCTGCTTGTGCATGGAGCAGACAGAGAAAAAATTCAGGAAATCCAGTAATGGCATCAACTGTACTTTTCTACCCCAAATTTCTCCCTGGACTGCTCTGCCTGTCAGGCGTTCAGGCAGCCAACTACCAGGATAAGAAATGCAAGGTACTTACCCACAGTTGTTGACAGCCATGAGATTAGAGACAAGCACAAAGGGATAGGTCAACATACTGGCAAAAAACTGTAAAGTGGTAAGAGACAGCTAAGTTATTAGGTCATTCCGCATCTTTAGTCTCTTCTTTCCTCTCCCTTCAAGTCCTAGTGCCACTGCGGTCAATACTCCAACGCTGGTTTTGCTTTCTCAGCATCCCAGGAAAGACGAAATCACACATTTTTGAGCCTGAATAGGAGGAGATGCTTCTTCCTAACATCCCACTACATCCAACAATTTAACAAAAGGCCAGAAGGCTTCTCTTACTGTGATTGAGTCCTCTTTTGTGTAAACTGAAGCACATTATTTAACAGAAAAAGTAAACAATTAAATACAATGAAGCATTTCGAAACACCCCTGGAGACAGTAAGAAAATGTGAGTGTCCTTCCAAAGATGATGGAAGCTACTTCAGAAGTCAACTACTGGAAGACTTCACACGACTCAAGAGGGTGAAGCTCTCCGGGGCAGGATCAGCAGGGTGCAGTGGGAAGCAGGCCTGAGACTTGGAGGCCAGGCTATGGTGAGAAACGCCCACCCCCGCAGCAAGCCAAACAGACCAAACCATGTGGGATTGTTAGTGCCGTTCCTGAGACGCAGGGACTCTGGGTTATTCTCATCTCTGACAAACATTAACGAACTTAAGAGACTCTCCTTTGAGACATCTCGTTGTCTTAAAGCAGCGATAACACATGACCCAGGTGAAATTTAAAAGAAAACAAAACACAACTATCCCTAGGTTAAGAGGATTTAAAAACACTCACTCCTGTGACAGCTTGGGAATAACTCTTCATTTCACTCATGGTGGAAACCTAAAACAGGAAGAAAGCCTGCATTAGAATGAGTAAGAAAATGAAGATGATGTTAAGAGCGAATTGTCCCCAACCATATCAATCTATTCTAAATTTTTAGTTTCTCTGACAGCCGCAAAATTAATTTGAAGATGAAAACACAGAATACTGATTATGAGCATAAAAAGGCAGTGGACAAAACGATCAACTTCGTTCAACGTGAAGAGAAAACTCGCATGAGACTATGATGGCTGAGGAGCAAAAAAAAAAAAAAAAAAGGCAGGGAGACTGGTAACCTTTTGCCATGTCCTAGAAATCCAATCCCTGGAAACGACATCTGTGGTGTGTCCGAGGGACAAGTCACTACCTCTGTATGCGCCCAGCTGTGTCCCAGATGCTGCAGAGACCAGTCTCCGTACTCTAAGAAGCGCAATGTATTTGTGGGTTTAGTCCTCCCTCTGTGTGTTCTATCTCCCACCATGCTATGGGGCTGCCTCTGTACAGAGAGGCCCGCAGCTTCCAGGAAGGGCTAATTCTCACCAGGCTGAGGTTTCTAAAAAGCCCAAACCAGGAGTCCCTTTAACATTTCAGATTAGAGGAAAGAGCCTTGATACACTATAAAACCGTCCTGCTTTGCAGTGTCCTCAAAAATCATGGATCAGTACAGAGGTGATCTCTTCGCAGCTCCGAGACAGGGCTAGATTTCTTCGGCTTACTTAGCTATACCCTAGGGACTTTTTAGGTACATCTTTCTATGGTACATAGTCTAGACTAGGTCATCCCATTAGCCTTTGAAAACTTGACTGACAATGTTTAGTCACATAACGATGAGTCTGGCAAAGTGCCACCTTATCTTTTTTTTTTAAGTAGGTTCCATGCCAAACCTGGGGTTTGAACTTGCGACCCTGAGATTAAGAGTCACATGCTCTACTGTCTGAGCCAGCCAAGTGCCCCACCACCTTACTTTAAAGCTAACCAAGCTGGGGCGCCTGGGTGGCTCAGTCGTTAAGCGTCTGCCTTCGGCTCGGGTCGTGATCCCAGGGTCCTGGGATCGAGCCCTGCATCGGGTTCCTTGCTCAGCGGGAAGCCTGCTTCTCCCTCTCCCACTCCCCCTGCTTGTGTTCCCTCCCTCGCTGTGTCTCTCTCTGTCAAATAAATAAATAAAATCTTTAAAAAAAATAAAAAATAAAAAAATAAAGCTAACCAAGCTGCCCAGTGAATACAATAAAGTCAGCACCAGCACATCTTATCAAGATCACACCTACCCCACTGTCCAGTGCATAGGTATTGACGAGGTAGGCCAGTGAGTTACAGAGCCACAAAGAAATGATGTCACCTAGGAGGCGAGGAATAAGACCCCTACATGAAGAAAAAACAAAAATAAGAACCAAGAATTGTGATCAGTAAAAAGATAACCCACTCAATACAAACACTTCTCAAAGAGAGATTTCAGTCTTTGAGAGAACTGAAGACACTGAATGCCAGAATCTAGCATTAACCAGTTCATTCTAGTTAACATAACTGTACTTGAGGTTAACCTCTAATGACTTTCATTCCTATTTTTCAAATGCAGGCCAGCTATATCCCCTCAAAGCTACACGCAATGGCTCACCTTACTGTTAAGAACTATGAGCGGGGGGACAAAAATGTGCCTGTTTTGGAGAAGAGACTTAAATACAGTTTAGGCTAAGCTACTTGATATTCAAATTTGACAGGGCCGAAATTGACCACAAAATTACAAAATGGGAATGGCATAAACAGATAGGTGAGGGACATCAAAAAATACCAGGGCCTAGGTGGCCTAGGTGAGGCAGCAGGATGAACCTCACCCCACAGACTGAAGACCAAGGTTCAAATGCCACTCCCATCACTTATCAGCTGTCTGACGGCAGCAAATGAACTCCCCAGAGCACCAACTTTTTCTAATCTCTAGAATAAGAATATAAGAGCTATCCTATCTCCTAGAAGATTTACTTATTTTTATTCTTTTTTTTTTAAAGTAGGCTCCATGCCCAACGTGGGGCTTGAACTCAAGACGCTGAGATCAAGAGCTACATGGTCTACCAATTGAGTGAGCCAGGGGCCCCCTTTTATTTGAGGCTATGATGCCCAAATAAAAACAGTTAATGGAAACACTCTGAAAATGAAAGAGGACCATTTCTACTTTCTGTTGTCAACAGAAGAACGAGAGTGGTAGTCTAAGTTCTTCCAAAGGAAACCCAAGGGAATGAATACAGCCTTGCAAAAATGTATTACTCTCAGGATAAAGAAGATAATTTTCCCATTTTTCAAAAATTAAGTTTCCCCAGTTTATCAACTGTATTTCATTAGGAACTTACTATAAAGGTAGAAACTTGGAATGAATTTAACAAAATTTTAACAGAACTGAAAACAAAACAAAAAAACCCCCAAACAACAACAAAAAAACCCTTAATATCCAATGTTTTAGATGTCTAGAAGCAAAAGTTTGGGATCTTGACAAAAGAATTCTCGAAGTCAGAGGGGCTTTAACAGAACTTCCCGTGAAGTAAACCCAGAGAGTACATCTTCTCCAAGGACTAAACAAAGAGTCGTGTCCTGATTTTCATTAAAGCTTTCTACTCCCACAAATAATTGCACACGTAAATCAACAATTTACTTACGCAAAAAATCCTAGGATGCCTTCTTCGCGATAGATGGTTACTATGGAGTCATAAAGTCCACTAGGTACAGAAGATGGAAAGGCAAAAATACATGAAGATTATTTTGGAGCTATTAAAGAAAATGTTCAATTATCACTTTTTATGTCCCATCCCTTTTCTGCCACCCTCACTCTGCAAAGACAGCTGCATTTGGAGACAGGAGTGGAGATATCATGACCTAAGGGTGTAGTCACATGGGAGTCAGGGTGAGTTTTGGCTTCAGTGGCTCTGCAAATTACTCTGAGATCCTGGGTAGGTTCCTAAACCTGCCTGGGCCATTTTCTTCTATTTTACCAGTTTTTGTTCATTTTTGTGCAGAACAAATGATCTATCAATTTGTTCTGTAAACTCTAAGGCACCATAAAAATGTAAAGCACTTCAACAGATCTCTTTGAATACTGGAAAACAAAAACACTTACCAGTACTTGGATTCTCTGCCAATGAATTGTACCATAGATCTCAGAGTGATCACTGCAGAACATAGAGAAAAGATTTTTAAAACTACGTCGAGATAAATTTTGATAGCCCTGAAAAAGAAAAAAAGTTTTTCCATCTAAAGACACTTTGCTCTCTGGATAAACCGGATAAATGCCAAAACAAGCAAGTAAACAAAAAACAACGTATGCAAGGCACTTTAGTGAACTCCCATATCAACCTATCTAAGCAGTCAGGAGAGATCATGCTATGAAAGTAAGGTCACAAATCAGATTTCAGTTACCAATGGTAAACCTACCGTGGAAGGGATGTGTGATGAGGGTAGCAGCAGAACGGGCCATCATCTCTCGAGTTGTCTAGAAACAATCAACACACACATCTGAAATCTAAATAAACGACACTCAGATTCCTGTGAGAAATAACATGGGTGACACTGCACTCCTGCCCTGACTGTGACACAATATAATATACTGTCGATCCTCGCATACCTTTTCCTCATGGATTTCAATGTTCTGTTATGGTTACTTCTCAAAATTGATATGCAAAGCAGATTTCTGTTATCTTCTCAATTTTACAGATTGAAAAAAAAACAAAACCAAAGAAGACGAAGAGGGTCACTAGCAAACAGTAACCAAGTGGTAATAAAACTATGAGGCCTGGTATTTAGATTTTTAAGCTGCGTTCTCCCTGTGAGCGATTTCAGAGATCTCTGACATCTATGTTATTCAAATGTCAGGCTCTGTTTAATCTGTGCCAACATAACAACTCTGATTAGTTTTTCCACCACCACCCTGTGACTGTGCAGTATCTTAGAGCTGCTATTTATCCTAATTTATCTTTCTTGCCCAGGGCTCTGTAAAGAAGTAGCAGAGAAAATTAAATTACAACACTGGGGAGGTAGGTAGTGAATAGAGCAGGTCTGTTATTCATTTATGCATTTAAACATTATCTTCAGTCATCTAGTTAAGACATCCCTCGCCCCTACGCCAATGATAGTCGTGAGAAGAGCCTGTGGGAGAGGATGGGTTAACTCAAGTTAAGAAAACACAAAAACTACTAAAAAAAAAAATTATTAATACGTGTACCTCTACTTTTAAAATAAAGTAGAAAATTTACAGAAAACAAAGTTGATTCATCTGACATCTAGACCTGCTTCTTTTGGAATATATATTTTAGAAGGCAGCATTTAATAAAGACCGTGATCTTACTAAAGACAATTAAACAATGTAAAGACTAAGAAATAAGAGAGTAGTTTTGAAAGCCATAAATACTAAGTCAGGCACGAAACACGCTGCAATTGCAGAAGAAGGGAATGGGAAATGGGTATGAGGAACAATCCCGAGTCAAAATAATGTTGTAAAAGCATCTACAGATAGATAATATCTAACACACGAAGGGCCTGGCCACTACTTCAACACACCTGTGTCAGAGGTTTACACCTCTATTAGAAGACTTTCAGTAGAAACCTCTTCAATTTTAAAGATGAAATGAGTGGACAAAATTAGTTTCCTTGAAATGCATCTAACCCAAATAGCAAGCAATGCTTTTTTCTCTTTTTTTATGGTATACATGTAGAAAAGCCCAAATTAAACTGAAGGTCTAGTTTCATTTGGAATAAACACTGAACACACAGGCCTGATGATCCTGATTCCACAAACTGCCACACTGCATACACTGTGATTTAGGGAAACAGCATAGGACATAATCAGTCTCTTACCTCTTTGATAACTTGGTCAAAGGAAGGTGTGACTTCTTTCTGTACATTTCCGGGGCCTAAATCCTGGAAATCAAAATGAAAGAAGACAGGTATCTTGATAGTTTTATTTTTTGATACTATTGTTATTTTTTTAAAGGCCTTATTTTTTTAAAGTAATCTCTACATGTAACATGGGTCTCGAACCTATAACCCCAAGATCAAGAGTTGTACCCTCCACTGACTGAGCCAGGCAGGCACCCCTATCTTGATGGTTTTAAATAGAACTGTTCAAACCGGTGGCCACCCTGTATGCCAACACTCACTGAGATGAAAGGGGAACTGACTGCTGGTCCCTTCTCCGAAAGACAACCAAAAAGCAATAACAACTTGCAAGGGAAATGGGCCCACGCATACAAATCAGCTCCAACATACCTCAACCTTGTCACATTCCTGGTAATGCTACAAAGAAGAAAAAAGAAAAGAAAGGATGATTAGGGCTGTCATAGTGTGAGAGAGATGACATAAAATGAAAATAAAAGTTGTTTTATTTTTTGGCTGCATATCTCCAGTAATTTCTATTTCTAATTAATCAATTGGAAAAAAGTGTCTCTATGATGATTTTATTGCTAAGTTTAACATACTGGCCAGTTGGAGGAATAAGCAAATGCTCATGAAAACTCTTATCTAAAAGAATAGAAAAACAAACCAAAACTAAAAATCCAAGGGCATTATTTACTACCCATACACATTTAGCAGAAGTAAGCTGGTAAAAACATAACCTAGCACAAAAGCTATGGAAAAAACCTCATGGCTTTTTCATGAAAAAGCAGAACCAGGCGCCTGGGTGGCTCAGTCCTTAAGCGTCTGCCTTCAGCTCAGGTCATGATCCCGGGGTCCTGGGATCGAGCCCCGCATCGGGCTCCCCGCTCAGCAGGAAGCCTGCTTCTCCCTCTCCCACTCCCCCTGCTTGTGTTCCCTCTCTCACTGTGTCTCTCTGTCAAATAAATAAATAAAATCTTAAAAAAAAAAGAAAGAAAAGAAAGAGCAGGACTAATGCCAAACAACCTGATTAAAAAATGGGCAGAGAATCTGAATACACATTTTTCCACAGAAGATATACAGACGGCCAACAGGCAAATGAAAAGATGTTCAATATCACTCTTCATCGGGAAATGCAAACCAAAACCACAACGAGTATCACCTCACACCAGTTAGATTGGCTACCACCAAAAAGACAAGAAATAACAAGTGTTAGAGAGGATGCGCAGAAAAATGAGCCAATACTGTTGTTGGAAATGTAAACTAGTAGAGCTACTGTGGAAAACAGTGTGGAGGTTCCTAAAAAAGTTAAGAATAGAACTTTCATAGGGGCGCCTGGCTGGCTCAGTTGTTAGAGCATGGGACTCTTGATCTCGGGGTTGTGAGTTTAAGCCCCATGTTGTACAGAGAGATTATTTTTTTTTTTTAAAGATTTTATTTATTTATTTGACAGAGAGAGAGAGAGAGAGCACAAGCAAGGGAAGCAACAGGCAGAGGGAGTGGGAGAGGGAGAATGAGGCTCTCCACTGAGTAAGGAGTCTGACACGGGGCTTGATCCAGGACCCCGGGATCATAACCTGAGCCAAAGGCAGACACTTAACCAACTGAGCCACCCAGGCGCCCCACGCATAGAGATTACTTAATAAAACAAACAAACAAAAAGAACTGAAAGAACTACCATAAAATCCAGCTATTCCACATCTGAAGACTATGAACACTAATTTGATAAAATATATGCATCCTGGTATTTGCAGCAGCATTATTCACAATAGCTAAGATACAGAAACAACCTAAATGGCCATCGGTGGATGAATGGATAAGGAAATTACGGTGTATATGCACAAAGGAATATTGCTCAGCCATTAAAACAAAATCTTGCCATTTGTGACAACACGGGTGGATCTTGAGGGTATCAAGTTAAGTGAAATAAGTCAGAAAGAGAAAGACAAAAGCTGCTGTGATTTCACTCACATGTGGACTCTAAACAAACCAACCAACCAAACTCACAGACAGGAAGAATAGGTTAACAGAAGGGAAGGGGATGGAAGATGGGTGAAGTGGGGAAAGGGAGTCAAATGTACGGTGATGGATGATAACCAGAAGATCACCTTGTAATGAATACAGCTGTCAAATTATAATGTACACCTGAAACTTAAAATGTACTGATTTTACCTCGCTTAAAAAAAAAAAAGTAGTACCAATACCAAATTAGGGCAAGGCTCTTTTCTTCACTGCACAAAAGAACAGAAATTGGTGCCAAGTCTGAATAGCTAAAATCGTCTCACTTTTCCGTTTGTATCTGTTTCTAAAACAAGCAAGAGAGAAGATTTTGTTCTCCTCTAAAGTACTAAATACTGCCAGAGTTCAGACTTTATTGGAAGATGAAATATTATTTGTGGGATATTTCAGAAATAGAAGACGGGCCAGGTGAAATAAAAGAATCAGACAACAGAGCCACTAGACATACCAGATTAAAAAAATAGACACCACTTTCTTTTGTAAAAAGACTTAAAAGAAAATCAGAAGAAAGAGAACAAATTTCAAGACTAAGCAAAATGATGTTTTGGGGTCAAATTCCAGGTCTTTAGTTACAGTAATTCTAATAGTTTCAATTTCGGGTGTATTTAAAAATTCTTGCTCATTTCTAGACTTTGCTTTTTTTACCCCGTTAATAAAATTTTCTACTTGTCCTTTCTACATTATTCTGAAACAGAATTCAATTTCATTCTTGTTCAGATACACAAAACTTTCTTATAAAAGGCTAACAAGGGGTGCCTGGGTGGCTCAGTCGTTAGGTGTCTGCCTTCGGCTCAGGTCACGATCCCAGAGTCCTGGGATCGAGCCCCGCGTCGGGCTCCCTGCTCCGCGGGAAGCCTGCTTCTCTCTCTCCCACTCCCCCTGCTTGTGTTCCCTCTCTTGCTGTGTCTCTCTCTGTCAAATAAATAAATAAAATCTTTAAAAATAAATAAATAAATAAAAGGCTAACAATTTCAACAACCCTGAACTGGTCTTTCTTTCTGATGCATAAAGCTGCTTTTGATACTAAGTGTAATACCAATTGCCTGCCATGTTACCTGTGAAACATTCGGGGTACCTGCTTAACTCGACTTTATCTTACTTTTCCTGTACGTAAAGGAACTTGGTTCTCTAGCAGTACTTTCACTTTTGCTCTAAGTCTACACACAAAGCCTGATGACTAGGTGACAGCTGTCTTTCCATACGTAAAGCTCACTTAAGTAAGGGCAACACTTTACTGAGCCTAGGGGAGGGTGTGGCTGGGGACAAAAGACCAGTCATCAATCCACCAAAAACATGGGCCCATTAAGACTCCATTACTCTGACCCATGGGCCACCTGCATGTTTCCACATTTGGCCCACAGGCATAACAAGAGGAAGAAGTGTAAAGTGGGTACGGCATGTAACTCTTGACCTCAGTGTCATGGGGCTTGTGAGTTCAAGCCCCACACTGGGCACAGAGCTTACTTAAAAAAAAGAAAAAAAGATGAGTGTAAAGAATAACAAAATGACTGAAGGGTGAAAGAGCTTCCATGTGAGGAACCTACCGAAGAACCTCTCCAACTCAAAAATCAAGGAAGGCTGAGGAGAATTTAAAATCTAAGCCAATTAGCACTCATATGTGGAATTTAAGAAACAAAACAAACAATCACAGGGGGAAAAAGGAGAGAGGGAGGCAAACCAAGAAACAGACCCTTAACTAGAGAGCACACACTGATGGTTACTAGAGAGGAGGTGGGCGGAGGGAGGGGTGAAATAGGTGATGGGGGTTCAGGAAGGGCACCCGTCCTGATGAGCACCAGGTGATGTATGGAAGTGTTGAATCACTATATTGTACACCTGAAAATATTACACTGTATGTTAACTAACTGGAATTCAAATAAAAACTTAAAAAAAAAAATCTAAGCCTATTAGATCATGAAGCTGTTTAACAAAATCAAGACATGCTCATCAGATGATAAAACATAAGAACTGGGTTAATGTTTTTTTTGTTGTTTTTTCAATAAGGATTTATTTATTTGACAGAGAGACAGAGCGAGAGAGGGAACACAAGTAGGGGGAGTGGGAGGGGGAAAAGCAGGCTTCCCGCGGAGCAGGGAGTCCACGCGGGGCTCGATCCCAGGACCCTGAGATCATGACCTGAGCCAAGGGCAGACGCTTAACGACTGAGCCACCCAGGCGCCCTGTGCCAAGTACTATTTAAAAAAGCAGTTAGTAACCATTTGGAATTTAACACCTCTGATGTATTATATAGGTTGATAATATTATATAGATTTGTTTAGCATACACTGTGACATTTTTTGAGCATGAAGAGCACAGAGGATAACATACCTTGGTGCCAGTAGGAGACAAAAAATAATTAACTAGAAATCCCTTAGTTTTATATTCTTCACTACACTCATGCTAAATACCTTCCCATGGACTATTCTAAATGGTACAGAATTTATATTCATAACACCTTTATAAATACAATAAAGGGCCATTCTGTTTGACCTAAATGGTAACTGGTACAACTGAGAAACCTGTACCATCAGAATCATTAGCTTTGGCATTTGAGATGAAAAGAAGCTAGCAAAACAAAAGGATAAGCGAGAAAGAAATGTAACCTTGATGTTTTAACAAACGTTTTATGAAACACTACAAACATAAGAAAAATTAATAATTCACCTACATATCCATCACCAAGGTTAAACTTGTTAACATATGCCCTTTTTGCTTCAGATCTCTGGCCTTCTTAAAATGCCACAGAAATAGATAGCCAAAGTTCCACCTCTCATCTCTTCCCCCACTTCCCAAAAGTAACCACTAGCCTGCAACTGATGTGCACTTTGGTAAGGTTAAAAAAAAAGGTGTTTTTTGGGGCGCCTGGGTGGCTCAGTGGTTAAGCGTTTGCCTTCGGCTCAGGTCACGATCCCAGGGTCCTGGGATCAAGCCCCGCATCAGGCTCCCTGCTCCGCGGGAAGCCTGTTTCTCCCTCACCCACTCCCCCTGCTTGTGTTTCCTCTCTCGCTGTGTCTCTCTCTGTCAAATAAATAAATAAAATCTTT